TAGTAAACATGTGCCATCCTTCTTAAGCTAAAAATTATTTCGTTCCTATGTTGAAAATTGACAAAAATCATTAAAAAGTTAATTATCATCATGCTCATTAATGTGTATTTTGTAAGAATGTTGATGGTCGTTTTTGGACATTTTGTGTTTCCCTAAAAGGGCTATTATGAGAAGAAATGAAATATTTTTACTGCCTCCAAAGGCGAATCTGGCGGGCGAAGCGTGAAAGGTTAGGTTTCACGAGTCGTGTGAGTGAGCTAATTTGGGTATTATACGAGACTGGAATCTTTGGAAGAAGGCCAGAATAGCAGCAAAAGTTAACGATGAGCGTGAGCGCACGTAGCACTCACGCATCAATAGGTATTTCAAAACTTCCACATACGTTTTAGTTTCTCAACATATTAAAGTTAAGCACTTGGTGTTACACAACACAACGTTAATATATAAACACATCTTTCTTCGTTGTTGAAAGTGTAGCAGTGCCATAGGAACTAATTTTTTTTATTTTTGGCCGATGGTAGGGACGATTTTCACCGAAGCTGAAACTGACATATATCACCAACAGATGAAGGGTATACTTATTGAGCAGTCAGTGACACTAAATAACATATATCACCAACAGATGAAGGGTATAATTATTGAGCAGCCAGTGACACTAACTGACATATATCACCAACAGATGAAGGGTATACTTATTGAGCAGCCAGTGACACTAACTGACATACATCACCAACAGATGAAGGGTATACTTATTGAGCAGCCAGTGACACTAACTGACATATATCACCAACAGATGAAGGGTATACATATTGAGCAGCCAGTGACACTAACTGACATATATCACCAACAGATGAAGGGTATACTTATTGAGCAGCCAGTGACACTAACTGACATATATCACCAACAGATGAAGGGTATTCTTATTGAGCAGCCAGTAACACTGACTGACATACATGTATATCACCAACATATGAAGCGTATACTTATTGAGCAGTCAGTGACACTATATGATTTATAGTTTCTTTTCAAACTTTGGTCAAATGAAAATCTTGTTCTTTTGGCCTCCATGTGAACTCCTGTACTTTAGGATGAATGTTACCGATTCCGCTTGTTTGTTTGTTTTACAGCAAAGTCACATTGGGCTATCTGCTCTGTCCACCGCGAGGAATTGAACTCCGAATGTTTGCGTCGTAAGTCCGTAGATTTATCGCTGTCTCATCGAGGGACTGCTCCCGCTTGTTTCTCATTGCACAAATGTAGCCCCCCCCCCCCCATCGATTCTTGCGCCACTGGAACTGGTTGAGATACAAAAGTGTCTGTCCTTTCAGTTTCCGTTCGTAGCTTCAATGAGTTTGTGTTATGTAATTTAATTATTATGTTGAAAATTAAAATAATATTAAGTTTCTGCTTCACGGCCTTATTACCGTATTATCTATTTTTAAGCATGATGGGACTGATATGAAAGTAGTGGGCCTAACGTATGATGGGACTGATATGAAAGTAGTGGGACTAACGTATGATGGGACTGATATGAAAATAGTGGGCCTAACGTATGATGGGACTGACTATGAAAATAGTGGGCCTAACGTATGATGGGACTGATATGAAAATAGTGGGCCTAACGTATGATGGGACTGATATGAAAATAGTGGGCCTAACGTATGATGGGACTGATATGAAAATAGTGGGCCTAACGTATGATGGGGCTGATATGAAAATAGTGGGCCTAACGTATGATGGGACTGATATGAAAGTAGTGGGCCTAACGTATGATGGGACTGATATGAAAATAGTGGGCCTAACGTATGAAGTATAATCGATCTGATCTATTATAATCTAATCTATTATCGATCTCAGTGAACGTAACCTATAATCATATGGATCTAACATATAAACGTAACGGATCTAGATATAAGCATAATGAGCCTAACACCACCCGCCATCAACTCTTGGGCTAGTCTTAACCAACGAATGGTGAGATTGACCGTCACTTTAAAATGCCACCACGGTTGAAATTCCGTTAACAAATTTAACATTAGACAAAGAATGGTATGTAATTATACTTGACAAAGAGTTATTGATGAAAACAGACGTCCAATATTAAATTAATTCGCCTGAATTAACAATCTTTGTATTATCGTTGTTTTTTTTTACTACAACATAAACTTGCATGCAATTGATTTTGTTATACCAAAGCTTTTCAGCTATAAATGCATGTATATATCAGGTGCTACACCTTCAGTTGTTCGTGTTTGACTGGTAATCCCAACCTAGGACCACCTGGTGAATGAAACGTATATTAAAAATATTACAATTACTTTTATAACTATATATTCCAAATCAACAAAATCGCTTTTTAAAATTCGTTTTTTTTTTCTGACAAATGTTTCAACTCCAACTACAAAAACGTTTCTTTTTAAATGTTTAAAATAACTTTATTTTGATATTATTTTACTCCTCAAAACACTGCTACAAAATTAAACTAACAAGTCTCCGGTTTTTTATATATACCTATTCTTGTGTGCACCCAGTTGTTGTAAGTCGGTTAGTGCAACACACTTTACAACGTGGTCCGATGTCTAATTGGTCAGATATTTATCATTTGTTTTGGAACAAAGAGGTGGTTTCATAATAACTGATTATTAAAGTTTAGAACATTTTCCTATATTAAGTTATTTTGATATAGATGTTATTTTTCATATAAATAGACAGCATTTAATCTAAGTTCCACGTTACGTTAATGAGTGGGTTTATTATCATGTCTTTTTGTTTCAGTTACTTGATTTGTAAAAATGAAGGTTTCATTCCAGGTCAGAGTTGAGAAACATCATTGGTTTGATTACTGGTTAGTGTTCAGGGACATCGTTGTTTTGATTACTGGTCAAACTTCAAAGATGTCATTGATTTTATTCCTGGTCAAAGTATACGAACGTCATTATTTTGATTCTTGGTCAAAGTACAGAGACATCGTTGTTTTGATTCTTGGTCAAAGTACAGGGACATCGTTGTATTGATTCTTGGTCAAGGTACAGGGACAATATTGTTTTGATTCTTGGTCAAGGTACAGGGACAATATTGTTTTGATTCTTGGTCAAGGTACAGGGACAATATTGTTTTGATTCTTGGTCAAGGTACAAGGACAATATTGTTTTGATTCTTAGTCAAGGTACAGAGACAACATTGTTTTGATTCTTGGTAAAGGTACAGGGACAATATTGTTTTGATTCTTAGTCAAGGTACAGAGACAACATTGTTTTGATTCTTGGTAAAGGTACAGGGACATCGTTGGTCACGCTGAAATGAATCCATCATAGATAGTATATTTCTGTTACAAAACGTCTCGTCCCATGAAGCAGAGTTTGCCCATAATGTATTATAGTGTTAAGTCTGTGCCCATGTATTATATAATTATGCATGATAACCATGGACATACAGTTAGCTCATAATGAGAGCATCATTCACAAGTTCTGTGGTCGATCCCTTCCAAAATATTGTAGGCTGTATTATGTTTGAATTTAACATTTCTAGCTATCCAATGCCAGAGTTTTTCGTGAAAGGACAAAAGTGGCTGTGTAATATTGTATTAGTCATTCTTCTGTTATATCTAATGGTACATTTACTACTTTCACCCCTGATATTCATACTCTAGAGAAATTGTTTCATTGTTAACAGTTCTTTACAACAACGTGTCAGTAACATTTAATATTTCATTATTGTTTTATTCGGGTGCTGGTTGACTGTTAACAGTTCTTTACAACAACGTGTCAGTAACATTTAATATT